GAAATCACAGCAGCAGCAGCAGGACCAGGGCCCACTGCTGACAGAGTGTCTGGCCTCAAATTACACTGTATCAGAGCTCAGGCATAAAATTAGCAGCAGTGTTCTATGTATGAGGAGCCAGAGAAAATTGCCAGATTCAGCAGAATTATGGGCAGAAGAAAGGGAGAGAAGGAGTTGGGGAGGGGAAGAGCTGGCCCACTGCAGCCCCCCTGGACAACCCTGGACCGCTGCCCCGAGGCAGAGGCAGCTGCCCAGTGGCTGAGTCAGGTCCCCAGGAGGCTTTTTGGGGTGGAGGGGGCCGGGGATGGGAAAGGAAGATCTTGAGAAACCCGGGAAGGTGAAATTGAGGGCTTATCCTACCCTACACACACACACACACACACACACACTGAAAACTCGGCACAAGATTTAGATATTCCCGTATCTAGGCACTTTTCATGCATTTTTTCTCATTAAGTTTTACTACAACCCTATTTGGTAAGCCTGTTTCACAGATAAAAGGATGAAAAAGGACATATTAGCTTGCCCAAGTTCATGTGCTATAGATATATTCATGTTTATGCTCAGTTTGTGCCCACTCAGACTCCAGCATTTCAATATAGCGTCTCTGCAGCCACTATGGAGAAGAGGATGGAAGTTCCTTAAATGGCTAAAAATGGAGTTACCATGTGATCCAGCAACCCCACTCCTGGGCATGTATCCAGAAAAGATGAAAACTCTAACTCGAAAAGATACAATCACCCCAATGTTCATAGCAACAGTATTTACAGTAGCCAGACATGAAAGCAACCTAAATGTCCATTGACAAATGAATGGATAAAGATGTGAGATCACACACACACACACACACACACACACACACACACGCGCGCACACACACACACACACACACACACCCAATGGAATATTGCATGCATGCTCAGTTGCTCAGTTGTGTGTGACTCTTTGCAACCCTATGGACTGTAGTCCCCCAGGCTCCTCTGTCCATGAGATTCTCCAAACAAGAATACTGGAGTGGGTTGCCATTTCCTTCTCCAGAGGATCTTCCTGACGCAGAGATCAAACCTATGTCTTCCTCATCTCATTCATTGGCAGGCGGATTCTTTACCACTGAGTTGCCTGGGGGAACACAATGGAATATTATTGCTCAGCAATAAAAATATGAAATAAAGCCATTTTCAGCAAGATGGATGGACCTAGAGATTATTATACTAAGTGAAGTAAGTTAGAGAAAGACAAATACCACGTGATATGGCTTATGTGTGGAATCTAAAATAATGATACAATGACCTTATTTACAAAACAGAAACAGACTCACAGACACAGCAAACAAATTTATGGTTACCAAAGGGGAAAGGGGTGTAAATTAGGAGACTGGGGTTAACAGATACACGTGCATGTGTGCCAAATCACTTCAGTCATGTCTGACTCTTTGAGACCCTGTGGACTGTATGCTGCCAGGCTCCTCTGCCTGGGGATTCTCCAGGGAAGAATACTAGAGTGGGTTTCCTTGCCCTCTTCTAGGGGATCTTCCTGACTCAGGGATCAAGAGTCTTATGTCTCCTGTATTGGCAGGTGGGTTCTTTACCACTAGTACCACCTAGGAAGCCCAACAGATACACACTACTGTATATAAATCAGATCAAGAACAAGGACCTACTGTATAACACAGGAAACTGTATTCAAAACCTTTCAATAATCTATAGTGGAAAAAGCCTGAAAAATAATACATATATATGGATATTTACATATATATATAATATATCTGGATCACTTTCTATACCAGAAACTAGCACAATATTGCAAATAAATTATGCTTCAATAATAAATAAATATATCCTCTCAAACTTACAATGTCACTACTGTACACATTGCATGTTCTTAATATATACAATATAAATACCCTCACACTTGTCTACATAGACTCATATGTTTATAAACATGTTTATATATATGTTTTCAACTAAGCACATATGATGATACACTCCTATGCCAGTGCTGGATCATACTTTGTTGCTAAAATCATTGTTACTTCTATTTTTCCTGACCAGCTGCAAGCCAGTGTCCTCCTGGTCCCAAGCCCCAGCTAGGTGCTTACACCTCTTGGAACTCACAGACATCTGCCACCCGCGACCCTGTCCTGTTACTGCTCATTTAGTTTCATCCTCCAGATGGGGAACCCTGAGTCACTATGACTGGAACAGAGTCATCATTTATATTATTTCTAGTTCTTTGGGTGTGAATTCTTTGGTATGCTGAGTCTATAAGCTATTTTTCATAGCGGAGAGGTTCTTTCCACAATTTGCAACTTTGGTCTATGAGTCTATAGGGAAGTTTTGTTATTGCCTTGCAAGCTCATGGCATCCAAAGTATTTTGATGTTAATTCTTCATCTTGGGATGTCTATACTGCATGGGTAGCTTAGATCTGGGTCTGACACCAGCACATATTTTAGGCTTGAGGCTCTGATCTTGTATATGTATCTCTCATTCTGCCCATGTCCTGGGAGAGTATCTCAACTCCGGACTTAGAGCCTGAACCTAGTCCCAGACTGGTGGCTAGTCCCTGATGCCTCAGACAGCAAAGAATCTGCCTGCAATGCAGGAGAAATGGGTTTGATGCCTGAGTCGGGAAAAACTCCTGGAGAAGGTAATGGCAACCCACTCCAGTAATTTTGCTTGGAGAATTTCATGGACAGAGGAGCCTGGCAGGCTACAGTCCATGGGGTCACAAAGAGTCGGACAGGACTGAGTGACTAACACTTGTACACTTTCAGTCCCCGATTACGCATTAAGATCTTACCCCTATGAGCCCATTTCTACCCTTGGTTTTCCCACTGGGTGTGGGGTGCCTCTCACTGGTATAGGTTCCCTTCTTTTAGAATCTGAAGATTACACTCTCTTGTTTTTGAGCTGGACTCTATATGTTTGAAATACTTAAAGATATATTATCTTGCAGCTTTTATATGCCTGGAGTAGGATGGGAAATTTTGACTTGGGTTCACCCTGCCATGTTTATTTCCATATTCCAAATGTCCTGTTTGATAAATAGCTGATTGGGTATATCCCTCCATTTTTCTCCTTTCTTGTCTTCTCTTCTGTCTTCCAACGTTGTTTCTGCTTCCAAAGGAGTCCATAAAGAATCTTGGTTTCTGAAGAGGCCTTGGCCCTGGCCAGGCTGCAGGAGGAGAGGCAGATCCTCATTGGGTCAGGGCTGTAGTGCCGGGCCCAGAGCATATCGCCTCCTGGGGATTTGGCCTCTGCCCCAAACTGTATTTAGGGCAGAAGGTCCCTTGGGATGGCTGGGTAGAGTGGGGACGAGGTTCATAGGAAGGGCTTGAGGCTGCCAGCTGCCCTTCATTTGTGAGCCAGACGGCTCTTGGGATCCTAAGAATGACTCATCCCCAGTCTCTGTGTCTGGGAAACAACAAAAGAACTACAGTTGGGAGATCTTGGTTCCAGGCTCCACTGGGCTGGCTCTGTCCCCACAGAGCCTCGTCCCAGCCCTGGGAGTCTTAATTCAGCTTGGATTTGGGACAGAGCGGGCCACAGGGCCCGTTCTGTGATGCCAGAAGTCATGTCTTCTCCATCATCCATCTCCTCTTCCTGCTGCTTTCTACTTTGCATCTGTGATGCATGAGTGAATGTGAATGTGTGTGTGTGTGTGTGTGTGTGTGACAAGTAGGTGTGGCTCTCTTGGGAGCGCTCCCTTCAGAATTCTATAGCCATACATGTTAGAGGGGCCACAAAATCATGTTCATTCCCCGTATGTTGGGTGAGAACTTGCAACATGCTAGGCACTGCACTACCTGGGAAGACAGTTGTCAGACATAAAAATACAAACAAATATGGAGCTACAATAGTTCTCAATGCTCTAAAGCAAAAGTACAGGGATCTGGGAGAGAATAGCAGAGAGAGGGTGACATATTTAGAGTTCAGTTTCCTGGAAGGTCTCCCTGAAGAGGTGACTTCCAAGATGAGCCCTAAAGGAGACAGGGAAAAGCATTCCAGCAGAAAAAAGCCTGCATGAAGGCTCAGAGTGGAAGACATCTTGGACCATTCTAGAAATGGACTAGAGGCCAGTGTGGGAAGGAAACAGCCCAGGAGAGGGGGCTGGGGAAGCCAGTAGGGTGTTCAGAACTTTGGAGGCAGACAGGACTAGAAGTTTGGACTTTCTCCTAAGTGCAGGGTGAAGCAGTTATAGTTTAAGCAGGGAAGAGTATGCTCAGATTTGTAATGTGATGCTCACTCTGGTTGGCAGCCCTGTAGGGAGATATGGCTGTGCCAGGCCCAAGTAGGCTTGGGGATCTCGGCATGTGAGAAGTGCAGCCCAGAACTCCAGGAAAGGGGGAATCAGGAAGGGTAAACCAACCCTCACATTCCAACATGACACAAGTGCCTGCGAGCACTAACTTTGTTGGGAGTACCAGGAAGGCTTCCTGGAGGAGGTGGCATCGGAGCAAGGACTTTGGGAAGGAAGGTGAGGTGGAGGCCTGCACTACCAGCCTAGGGAATAGGTTGGGTAAAGTCTCGACAGTGAGGGGGTGCAGGTTGGGTGTGATGAGTCAGTGGATGTGAAGTGACTCCCCAAGAATGTAAGCCCCCCGGTGGCTGAGTCAGCACTGAGGTCCAGTCTCTGATGAACAGGTTTCTGATGCCCTGCCAAGATCTGGCACCAAGAACTGACATTGAGAAAGTCCCCGATGCCCCCCCAAATCAGTGTACCCCACACACCCAGCGTCAGAGAGTGTGTACTTCCCCAGTTGTGGTACAGCTGCAAGGTGGGGAAGAGGAAGTATGGGCCACAGGCCAGCCCCAGAGGGCCTGGAGGAGGAGCTTCTTCTCGAGCTGAGAGAAGCTTGGCTGGGGCCTCCCCAGAGGCAGCTCCTGGGGACTCCTGGGACCACAGCTGAGACACAGGTAGCTTGAGGGAAGTGAGAGGTGACCTGGGCCTGGGCCCGGCCGTGAGACCCTCCGCCACCCCTCCCCTGGACTAACAGCCATGGCCAGGGCGCAGCAGCTTCGGGCTGAGAGGTGAGTGCAGGGGCGCTGCCCACCCGGGGCCTCCTCGCTGTTCCCGGCAGGCCTTGCAGGGCAGAGGCCCACCTTCCTGCAGCTGCTTATCAATGTCAAAAGTTGAGAGGTTGGAGTTGAGTCAGACCCCCAAATACTCAGAAATACAGACTCTGAGAACTTTTTTAAGGAAACTCCTAGTCGTGGCTCACTTCCTTCAGGCACAGATCAAGAGACTGAGGCTCAGAGAGGGGGAGTGACTTTCCCAGTGTCACGCAAGCGTGGGTGGTGGAGTCTGGATGGGAACTCAGGTGTCTGGGGCCCAGGCTGGGCCTCCGTACTCCACACTGTTCAGTAAGTTTCATCTTCTGTTCAGATGGAGGCACAGAATCTGGCTCTTTTCCAGGGCTGGGCTCAAATGCCAACTCCTCCGAGAAATCTTCCTTAACAGCCCCCTCTGAACACCTGCCCTGTTTCCTTCTTCTGTGTAGTTCCTACTTCTCTGGCATAATAGTCTATACACACCCATCTGTTTTCTTTGTCACTGGCTCTGCAGTTAGAAGGAAGTTCCGTAGGGTATTTATCTCTTTTGATCGTTGCTATATCCCAGGTCCATCTAGTCAAAGCTATGGTTTTTCCAGTAGTCATGTACAGATGTAAGAGTTGGACCGTAAAAAGTGCTGAGTGCCAAAGAATTGATGCTTTTTCATTGTGGTGCTGAGAAGACTCTTGGGAGTCCCTCGGACAGCAAGGAGATCAAAACAGTCAATCCTAGAGGAAATCAACCCTGAATGTTCACTGGAAGGACTGATGCTAAAGCTGAGTCCACTACTTTGTTCATCTGATGTGAAGAGCCAACTGATTGGAAAAGCTCCTGATGCTGGGAAAGATTAAGGGCAGAAGAAGAAAGGAGTGGCAGAGGATGAGATGGTTCGATAGCATCACCAACTCAATGGACATGAACTTGAGCAAACCCTGGGAGATAGTGGAGGACAGGGAAGCCTGGTGTGCTGCAGTACCTGGGGTCGCAAAGAGTTGATATGACTTAGCAACTGAACAGCAAATATCCCAGGATTTGAACAAGGCCAGTACTAAGTGCTTAGTAAATGCTGCTGAGTGAGTGAATGAATGAATAACAGACTGATGGGTGGATCTTTGAGCTGGAAAGTGTCTTTAGATCATTCTGGTTCAATCCTGTCATTGTATGGATGAGAAAACTGAGCTCCAAGGAGAATAAAATATTCACTCAGGGTGACATGGAGTGAGTGGCAAGGCTGGGGCTCCCAGCATAGCCTTGCCAGGGCCTCGCCTCATTTCTCAGGAGACATTCTCTGAGTTTCCTCAGTAGGCCGGCCTGTGCTCCGAGCTATGGGGGGGATCTGAGGACATAGGGCTTGGCTCCTGCCTTTTTGGATCAGAGCCGCAGATGACATCAGAAAGAGTGTGTTAAAAGCATGGAAGTGGCTCAGAGGGTCACCGGGGATGGGTCAGGCTGGTCTGGCCGAAGTGGGCAGCAGAGGGCCCCCAGTGGACTCTGCGGCCAGAAGTGGGAGCTGGGATGGAATTCCTGAATGTCAAATATCAGAAGGAAGGTGTGTGCGTTCATGTGTGTGTGTGTGTGTGTTGCAGGAGGGGTATCAAATGCAAATGCTTGGAGGGTGATTCAGGAATGCCCTTCCAGGGATTTTCCTAGCAGTTCAGTGATTAAGACTCTGCACTTCCACTGCAGAGGGTATGGGTTTGATCTCTGCTCAGAGAGCTAAGATCCCACATGCCACACAGTGCAGCCAAAAAAAGAAGAAGAATGGTCTTCAAGAGCCACAGAGGTGGGTGCTGGGGGCTGGGGTGAAGTTCAGGAAGGCAGGAGCCAAGCCCCATGTCCTCAGGTCCCCCCACAGATTCCAGTTCCTCCAGCCCCCAAGTCCTCAGTGGAGACTGGGCCTGGCATGTTAACCTGCACCCAGGAAATCGCTGCTGTTTGAGGCTGGTGGGACCTCCTGTTTCTCAGGGCACGTGGGTCAGAGAGATGATGCCCAAAGCCGAACCCTCCCCCCGAGTCCTGGTCTCCTGGGAGCTGTGCTTGCCCGTCTAGGGAGGAAAGATCCCCTTCCCCCCTCTTTCATGGGGCTATAGTGCCAGGTCTGGAGTCTCTCAGTCTCCCCGCACCTGGAAGCCTCTTTGAAAGTGAGGTCTGGATGCCTGAGGCCGAAGTGGAGGATGTAGTGGGAGGGCAGCAGATTTCAGGTAGCAGGACTTTCTAAGTCCTGAGACACCTGAAAGTGGAAAGGACTGCTGTGAGGGCCTTGAGTGTACTTCCCACAAGCATGTTTTGAGCGCCTACTGTGTGTAGGAGGCAGGAATCCTGAACTAGCTGCTGCTCTAGGGTCTTTCCACCCATCACCCAGCACCTCCTGTCCAGGCCTCCCAAATAGATTTTTCATGAGCAGTATCAATCTATGGGCCCTAAGTGGCCTTCTGTTCAGAGGGGTTCTGGGTGAGGTCTTCAGGGGGCAACTCTTCTAGGGGGACTTGCTGCCCATTTTTTTGCACCCTTGCTTTTGCCCGGTGCAACACCTTCTTGGTTCAGCTCCCTGGCCCTGCCCCGCAGGCAGCCAGGCTGTCCCCACGTGGCCCACAGTGGTGGTTTTGTTGCTAAGTCATGTCTGACTCTTTGCAACCCCAGGGGCTGGAGTCCGTCAGGCTCCTCTGTCCATGGGATGTCAGGCAAGAATACTGGATTAGGTTGCCATTTCCTCCTCCAGGGGATCTTTCCGACCCAGGGATCTAACCCACGTCTCCCTTGCCTCCTTCAAGTCTCCTACACTGCAGGTGAATTCTTTACGGCTGAGCCACAGTGTCAGCCCACAGTGGACTTGCTGTAAAACAGACACAGGGAGTGGGCTTGCATCTCCCTGAGCACCTACTATGTGCCATTGCTGTTCTGGGCACTGGGGATACAGCAGTGAGCAGGGTCCCTGCTCTTGTGGGGCTTCTTCAGCTGTGCTTGTTACAGATGTGACCGCCAAACCCTCCTGGGATGTAAATACCTCCATGGGCCCCGTCTCAGAGGGGTGGAGGGGTCAGAGCTCAGAGAGGAGTCTTCCCAAGTCTGCTGATCTTGGCAGTGTCAGAGAGGGAGTTCAGGTCTTCATCTTTCACCTGTGCCCTCCCCTCTGGGACACACAGTTCTCCCAACATAACCCCTTCCTCGCCCTACCACCCCAAGGCGGGCACAAGCGCCCTTCTTGAGCAGGTGCAGCCGGTCTCCCTGGCCTGGTCCCTCGTAACTTGTCCCTTCTTGCACAGTTGAGGCCTCTGCACTCACTCTTTCTCTTGCCTGTTGTCCTGGGTCGACTCCTCTTTACCTGGTGCCTCTTCTTCTGGGAAGTCCTCCCTGATCACCCTCAGTCTGAGCACACCTTGCCCTCCTTGCAGGTACAGCATCCTTGCTTCTCTCTCTGATAAATGTCACCCCCATCTTAGAAGTGTTGGCTTGCCGAGCTATCTTGCCTGCTGCACTACTGATTCTTCCAGGGAGGATAGTAATGGCTGGGCTCCTGCTGCAGCTTGAAACATTGTGGGCTTTTCCTTCACAGCTTCTATGATCGCTGAAATTATGTAATTATTTATCCAGCTCCTCCAATCAACCATGAAACCCAGGAAGGCAGAGGCCACATCCTAGAATTCTTAGGACAGTGTCTGAGCTACAGTAGCTGCTGACAATATTATTACTGTTGTTATTATTTCAGATGGGAGACATGCTGTGAGGGGCTGGCATTTACCTGAGTTTAACACAACCAGCTGTTGGGAGCTTCAAACCAGGGCCAGTGTAGCAGTGACTGGGAACAAAATTCTGGAGCCAAATCCCAGTTTTTTCACTTTTTTGGGACAAGTTCGTTAACCTCTGTGCCTCAGTCTGGAAAAAGGTTACACTGTCTTAGGAGGGCCCCAGTGCTCTGTGCACTTAGGACATGTCAGCTATAGTTACCATTACCTGTTTCCCTGCAAAGGGCCCTTGCTGCCTCTCTGGTTCCTTCCCACCCTCCGGCCTCCTACTGCAGGTGAAATAGTCAGGAAATTCACCGGGGGAGAAAGGGGAGGCGGAAGCTTCTCACAAGGGTGTTACTACAGGACCCTGTGTGGAAAGTGAGTGGGGGAGGCTGCTAGCCTGGGAGCGGTGGGGATTTCCTGTGCCTGCCCACCGCCAGCCTGAGTGACCTCTTGTGCCGGCCTCCAGAGTCCTGAGTCAGATCCCTGCAGTCCAGGTCACGTGGGGCCCAGCAGGGGCTGGAACTGGTCCCTGCTGGCTCTGAGGTTCAGGCAGCCCTGCCCCCCACTCCCACCCTGTTTCCCAACTGCCGCAACAGGAACACGATTGCTGATGGCTTCTAATTTCCTCATCTGTCCACAAGCAGCTGGACTGGGTGACCCCTAGCTGCTCCTCCTCCCTCGCCTTGGTGTTCCGTTTTCTCTTCCTCCATCCATCCCTCTCAGTCCCCTCCTCTGCTCACTGATTGCTCTCCCCTGGGGATTTTAACCACTAGTCACAGGGCAGAAGGTTCTTACCACTCCCACTCCAGCTGGGACCCCCTTCAACTCCACTGCCTGCCACACACCAGCTTTTGCGGGACCATGACCTGGGTGCCCCAGGGGCCTCTCAGATTAGCACGTCCCAAAATGAGTCCATCAACCCTCCTCCCCATCCACCCATCCTGGTCACAATACGGGTAATATGTGGGTGTCACTCTTGACACTGCCCTTTCTTTCACCTCTATATCCTAACAGTCCCCAAACTCTGCTGGTCATAACTCTGGAATGACTCACAAATTAGCAGTGTATCTGTTGGACATGCAGAAGGCTACAGAGAACAGAGGAACTGATAAGTGGCTGAAACAAACAGAGGTTTATGGTTTCAAATAATGAGAAGTTCAGAGGTAGGCCACGGCTGGTTCTGCTGCTCAGTGACTTCAGGACCAGAATCCCAGAGATTTCTGTGATTGTTCTCACATTCTTGCCTCATGAATGCAAAGTGGCTGCTGCAAGTCCAGATGTCACATCTGCTTTCCAGGCAGGCAGTTGGGGAAAGAGGAGGAGACCGGACTAGCTTTGTCCATCTCTCTGGATATTGAAGCAAAACCTCTCCCAGAGGCTCCTACAGCAGATTTCCTCTTAGTCTCATTGGCCAGAACAGGTTACATGGCTGCTCCTAGCTGCAAGTGGGTCTGGGAAACAGCAATGGGATTATTATGTTTGGCTCAGGCCAACTGTGATCTATCACCTTGGGGCTAGGCTTTGTCACCGTGGAAAGAACTGGAGCTTGATTAGCTAGGAAGAAGCTGGGGGCACGTAAATGGAACAGTGTCTGCCGAGGTATCCCTCGTGTCTGTCCTCTCTTCTTGTCCCTGCTGTCTGGCTCAGGCCCCCCTCATCTCTCAGCTGGACCACTTCAGGGCCTCCCAGTGGTGCTCTGTCTCCCAGTCTCTGCCCTCCTTTTTCTCTCCACGCAGCTGCCCGAGTTGGCCTCCTATAGCCAGAGCCCTGCTGTGTTTCCGCTCTCTTCTGAAGCCATCCATGGCTCTTTGTTGCTTATTAAATTCCTCAGCTCTGTGCTGGAGACCTTCCTCAACCTGGCCTCATCTGCCTGTTCAGACTCTGATCCCACCAGACTCCAGCCACAAGTAGACTTGTCCTCAGAGTCTTAGCCCCTGCATTCCCTCTGCCAGGAAGGAGGGCAGGCATTCCGCTGCCCCGGTCCTACTGTGTGGACTCGTACTCATCCTTCTAGACCTGGCTCAAATGTCAGCTCCTCTGTAAGGGTTTTCCCAACCTGAGTATAATGAACCGTCCTCTCTGGGAAGTGTGTGACCCAGTGCCTACAACAGGATCTGATAGGCAGCGGTGCTTGATGCTCTGTTCCTGAATGGATAACGCAGCCCCAAAGCAATTTGCTAGATTCCAGTATGGTTGTTGACATGTAGCTCCGACTCCAGACGCCTGGTCTGTGTCACAGCCTGGCGTGTGAGGGGTGTTGAACGGAGAATGCCAGGTAGATGGGTTCCCTTGGCACAGGGCTTTGCGCCTACCAGCCCCTCAACACTTCAGGATGATGACCAGCATTTCTTCTCCTCCCACCTCCCTTAGCGACTTCGAGCAGCTTCCTGATGACATTGCCATCTCAGCCAACATCGCTGACATTGAGGAGAAGAGAGGCTTCACCAGCCACTTTGTAAGAGAGACCCCTGCACCCTCACCCTCTGACCTCTGAGCCTCCAATGCTCTCCTCTCCTAAGTTCTATCCTGGTGGTTCTCACCAGAGCAATTCTACCCTCCAGGGGATGCTTTGCAGTAAATATCTGGAGACAGTTTTAATGACCACAACCCAGGGTGGGGCATCTACTGCATGGCATCCAGGGATTCTGGTTCATGTCATGCGGTGCCCATGACAGGGAAATACCTCACCCCCAAAGTGACACTGAGGTCGAGAAATTCTGATCTAACCCTAGGACCTCTGGACTTCCACCCTCCTCTACCTCTGGCCTGTGAGGCTTCCCCCAAACCCCCAATCTGAAAAGCCCCAGTCCCTGGCTTGCTGGCTCAGTCTGTGGCCTATGTCTTCCTTAGGTTTTTGTCATTGAGGTGAAGACGAAAGGGGGGTCCAAGTACCTCATCTACCGCCGCTACCGCCAGTTCTACGCCTTACAGAGCAAGCTGGAGGAGCGCTTCGGGCCGGAGAGCAAGACCAACCCCTTCACCTGTATCCTCCCCACGCTCCCAGGTAAGCAGCGACTGGCTGCCCCAAGTCGGAGCCCGCCTGCTCGCCTCTCCTTCCAGCTCTGTGGGTACTGTTCGATGCTTCTGTTTTAGCATAACCCGTTCTATTTTAGTGAAAACTGTTTATTTAATCCATGGCCCCCTCCTGCCAGTCACAGGCTGCCACCTCTAGCTCTCCGGCCTCGGAACCCTTGACCTCTGAGCCCTTGACCTCCTGTGCTCTATGACCTTCACAGCCGCCCTGCTTTAGCCAGCCACCACCAGGTTTGAGCGCATCAGCTCCGGCCTCTCCTCCTGGAGACAGGAATCCCTGTGTTCCCCATGGTAAACACAGACTCATCTTCCAGCCCTGTGACTCCTCAGTCCCCCGTGGGTGCGCCTCCTTCCCTGCTCTGCTGGGACACTGTGGGGGTGCACCCGCTGCTGCTTTTGGACGGGCCTCTCACCCCCTGCCTCCTGGCCTTCCACCCCTACTCGGTCCTAACACGCACAATGGAAAGGTGCAAACCTCTCGGCTTCTCAAGGCCAGCCTTCGTGAGCCCAGCAGGAGAGAACCCTGCCGGAGTGCGGTGTAGGGGTCACAGGGTGGTCTTGGCTGTGCCTGCCACACCCCACAGGCTGTATCCAAGCACCCTTCCCCCAGGCAGCAAAATCCTCTCTGGTCTTCCCTTCTTGAAGCTCCAAACCCTGCCTCCAGCTGGGGTTCCTCTCTGTCTCAGCCAGTGTCTGAGTTTCCCAGCCAGCAGCCAGCCCCAGGGAGGAAACGCACGCAGTTCCTCACCCCACCTCTTCCCCATCTCTGGGCGGCAGGGAGGAGGGGTCCCTCCTGCTCTCAGCTGACTGCTCCTTCCTGATAGCTTGTGTCTCGCAGCCCCTGTAGATTCACCTTCTCCTTCATCTACTTACTGTCTGCCAAGCTTCACCACAGGCGGGCTTGGTTCTCTTTCATCTTTAAGCAAAAACGTATCCTAAGTGAGCATTCTGGCCAGAAGCTTCCGTGAGCCCCAAGGGCCCTCAAAGATCTTGCCTTCCTTCCACGATAAATCTTGTCTGACCTTCTCATCTTCCATCCTCTGCTCAACCCACCAGCTGGGTTTCAGCTCTTCCTGCTCTGCGAGTTCCTCTGGGGACAGTGGCCCATGACCTGATCCATGGGTACAACTCAGGCCTCATCTTCCTCATCCCGCTTCTTCCTCTGGGATGCTCTCCCCAAACTTCTGTGGTGCCAGCCTCTCCCAGTTCCCTTCCTATCTCCCATGACTCCTCCATCTCCTTACAGAGTCGCCTCCTCTGGTGCTCCTGGGACGGTGGGCACCCATCGTCCTCACTTTTGTCTTCTCACTCCCCTCCCTTCCTCCTTTCCTCCACCCTGCACAGGCATTTGACCTGCATGCCTATGACTTTAGTTGCCCTTTACTTGCTACTAATCCCCCGGTTTCTCACTACCCCAGGCCTCAGATGCTACCCTCCTGCCACTTCCAGACACCGGTGTGCCTCATGGGCAGTGGCCAGCAGGAGCCAGACCTATCTCACATTTGCCTTCTGGAGGGCTCTCTGAGTGGGTGATTCAGAGCCCCCTGAAATTCCCAAAGAGGACATTTGTCTTTGATCAGCATCATCAGTTTCCTGTTCCCCACAAACACCCTGTCTTGCTTTCGAGGAAGGATTCACCCATCTACTCCTCAAATATTTACTGGTTTGGCCCTTATTATACACCATGGCTCTTAACCTGGGTGGCATATTGGAAGTACCTTGAGGTTAAAAGATTCTTGATGCCTGTGTTCCACCCCCAGAGATTCTGATTTAAATTCTTCTGGGGTGAGTCCTACACAATGAGATTTTACACACTCCTTGAGCGACATGAATGCACAGCCAGACTTGAGGACCACTGTTCTAGGTGATGAGACTGTAGCTGTGAGCAAAGCAAAGATCCTGTTCTCTTTCTAAGAATTGTGTGTGTGTGTGTGTGTGTGTGTGTGTGTGTGTATGTGTAGGCAATAGATAAACAGTTAAAACAAGAAAAGAATCAGCTGATGATAGTGCAACAGAGAATGCACATTGGATGGCGGCCCCCAGAGCTCCGTGGGCTGATGAGCGGGAGGAGCGCTGAGCTAGTGGAAAGGGTTCCTGCCTCCAGTGGGCATCTCCGGGCCCAGAGACAATGCTCTTGGGCCAGATTCCCAGGACAGCTCTTTGTGTTTCCTCAGCCAAAGTCTACGTGGGTGTGAAACAGGAGATCGCCGAGATGAGAATACCTGCCCTCAACGCCTACATGAAGGTAAGGCAGGGCTAGGCCACGTGGCCCCTGGAGGGCACAGGGCGCTGAGCATGGGAGAGGCCCAGATGTCATCCCTGAGAGTGGCTTTGGGACCTGGGGCTGGCTCTCCTGCTCTGATGGCCCTCATCTTCCATCCTTAAAGGCCAGGCCTGGGGAGAGAAACAGGACATGTTCTCAGGGTTCTGGGAGATGGGGCAGGAGCAGTTGAGGACTCAGGAAGCCACACCTTCAACTGACTAATGGCTGTGCTGAGCCCCCTGGTACAGAGGAGAATAAGATCCAATGCCTTCCCCAAGGTCCCCACTGTCCCATGGGAATACAGACAGATGAGTCATGAAACCATGAAGAACAGGCTATATAACAGGGGCATGGCAGACCAGGGCCCCAGCTTTCTCACAGAGTACCTGCATATGAACAGGACACAGGCTGGATTTTAGTGGCATCCATGGGCCTTGGACAGATGCCCTTATGTATTCCCCAGCCTGTAAACTGTCTGCATCCTCAGGAGATGGGAGCACAGAGGAAGGAGCATCTTACAGACAGACACAGGCTGGTTAGGAAAGCCTTACACCAGTTAAAGCTGTGCAAGAAACGGATAGTGTCCTGGGGTAGTGAGCACCCTGTCACTAGAGGTATACAAGACATGTTTTGATGGCAACCTTAGGAAGCTGGAGAAGGCAGCCCTCTTCAGAGCCAAGAGGCATCCTCAGAGACAGTGAGATCACCACTTCCTCTCCTACTCTTATCGGAAAAGAGCACTGAGCTAGGAGTCTCTTTGGCCTTTGCTCTGTCATTCCCTGGGTGATTTAGGGTTAATTGCTCATCCTGTCTAGGCCTCAGTTTTCTTGCCTATGAAATGAGGTGGTGCCCCCAGCTTTCTGGTTTCACGGGAGGGGACTGATGTTGAGAAAATGACAGAAAAGTGCTTTGTGAACTGTGAGCCTGCCTCCAGAATGTGAGACAGCATGACCCCTAATGGAGTGAGGAGGCAGGAGGAGTGCGGAGGGGGAAGGGGAAGGGAGCAGGCGGCTGGCTTGCCCTCCCCAGTGGCTGCAGGGATCCCGGGCTCTGGGTGGAGAGCAGGTAGGGTAGGGAGGCACCTGGGCTCCAGCACTGGCAGTGTCTCCCCTCCAGGGGGCGCTGTGACAGCTGCTGCTTCTGGGTTCCTGGCTCCTCCAGTCTCCTCCAGTCTCCTCCAGCAGGGCTGGAAGGAGCCAGAGGAAGGAGGGGTTTGGAGCTGGAGCTCTTCACTCTTCACCTGTGTCTTGGCAACCAGCAGCCTGGAGGATTTCATCTCTACCTGTCTGTGTCTGAGTGGGTTCCTTGAAGCCAAGAGGTCAATCAGTGCTATGCTAACCCCACCCTGGGCTTGGAACATTCAGAGACAGGGAGCTCATTACCATTCTCCCTGACCCAGGCTGCTCATCCATTGTTGGACAGCTATTAGAAAAGCCCGGCTTCCTGTGACTTCTACTCACTGGTCTCACCTCTGTCCTCATTAAGAATAGGGTTCGTGTGATAACGACAATTGCCTGGAACCAGGTGGAGTACAATGAGGAGGCTCCTGATATATCCATGCATTTGTTGGATAACTGGCTTATTTAATTATCTCAATAACCCGTGAGCTCAGTACTCTTATCCCTATTTTAAAGTGAGGAAACGGAGGCACACAGAGGTAGAGTCACTCCTTTGGTGTCACAGAGCATTTAGTAAGTAGGATGGGGTGAACACATATCTCTGGGACTCCAAGATTTTGCTCTTATCCACTGTACTGTGTTGGAATAAAAGTCATAGCAACAATGATAACATTCAGCTTGGATGGGGACCCTGCTAGATGCCTATTCTAAGAGTTTAGCACGAATTCACTTATTTAGTCCTTCCACAGTCCTACAAGGGAGGTATCCTCACCTGCATTGTATTAATGAACACACAGAGGCATCCTTGCCCAAGGTCACCTGGATGAGTGGCAGATTCTTTCCCAGGCACAGCCTGGCTCTGTCTGTGCTCTTGAGCTCATCTCTGGGCGGCCCTCTCCCATCCTTCCCATAGAACAACCGTGCCTTTTCTAGGCTCTGAGTTTGCAATTCCTCTGGGATGGAGTTCCCAGCCTCCCCCATCCTGCTGTCCCCATGGGGTTTTCTGGGGGGGGTGGGGCGGGATCTGGGTGCCTCTGGAGCTGTAGCATCCAAAGCCAACTGCAGTGCTCCTGGGGACCTGTGCAGTGGACAGCTTGGAGGGATGACCCTGCCAGGCTGTGGGTGCTCTGCACCTTCGCAGCTTGAGGGTCCTTGCATTGTGGTGGGTGTTGCAACCAGCATCAGATAATCAGTCTCAACTCTACCACTTCCTAGCTCTGCCCCCTGGCCTGGTCACTTTCCCACTCTGATCCTATAATATGACATACAGAATCAGGAAGCACCATTTAGGCGGTCATACCACCAAGTGTTGTTAATATGGTTTATCTGGCAGGTACTTCCCCCACCATTGTCTCATTCTGACCTAAGGGATGAGCTTTGGTGACAGATGGCTCTGGGTGACCGGCTCTGTCGCTCACTAGGCTGTGTGACGCTGGGCAGTTCCTTTCACCTCTCTGACCCACTCTCCCAGGTTATTGTGAGAGGGAGTGAGGTCACACGGTGTGGCAAACAGTGCAGCGGCTGAATAGTCACCACCACATCATGTCATCTGTTGTGTCTGGAGGCCTTTGGGTCTTTTCCAGACGAGTTCTTCTCAAGTTAGGTGGTCCCTCCTGACCTTGAACCTGGGGGTAGATCTTGTGATATGTTTCATTCACCCTGTTGAAATTTCAAAATATATCTTGTTTCTTTATCACACAGAGAATGCATTAATGGCCGGGGAATAGTGTGTAGGGGGAGTGGGGATGGAGCAATGGGGCTGGGATGCCAAGAGAGCTGACCTCCGACCTGTCCTGCCTCCTCCTCAAACGCAGAATCTCCTCAGCCTGCCCATCTGGGTGCTGATGGACGAGGACGTTCGCATTTTCTTCTACCAGTCGTCCTACGACGCCGAGCAGGTGCCTCAGGCGCTCCGGCGGCTCCGCCCGCGCACCCGGAAAGTGTAAGTGATGGACCCTGTGCTCCCAAAGGCCCTGGGCCACCTGCTGCTGACTGGGTGGGCTGTCTTGGAGGCCCCTGCCGCGAAGGCAGTTTTTCCCATGAAAGAAGGCAAGGGAAAGAAACTGGGTCTCTTGTCTGAGCCTTCCAGGGTGGTTTGAGTCGTTAGGTAAGCTTGGAAAATCAAGCGTAGGGCCTGGACAGACAGAAAGTGGGTGTGTTTTGATGTGTGACACGAAGGACCAGAGGACAGGGGCTGTGATGGGAAGATCTTGTTGCCATGGCAACCACTGGCGATGGCCCAAGGGCTTAGGGTGCTTGGGGCAGGCAGAGTGGGGAAGGGAGGAAGAATGGTTCTGTCTGCAAACATTCTTCCATCATCGCCTGGGACACCTTGTCTCTGGTTAGTTGCATGGAGCCGGCTGTGGTTACTCGTGTATCACACTGGCCACCAGGGGGCGCTGCTGCCCACTCCCGTATTCTAAACGGCCCACAGCTCCCTCCGGCCCCTTCTAAGCAGGGGGGAAAAAAAACACTAAAAGTTCAAGGCGATGAAATAGAGCTGCTGCTGCTGCTGCTAAGAATCCCAGGACAAGACTCCTGAGCCCCGCCTGCCCATCCAGCTCCTCCCTCCGTTCCAGTACCTCCAAGTGTCCTCTCCAAGTCGTGCCTGGCCATTTCCCGCAGGCAGCCAGGCAGGTGTGGCCTGAATTCCAGTTGTGCCCCACAGCAGCCCTGGGTCCTGGAGTGGAGCTCAGCACTTTCTGAAGCCCATTTCCTCAGCCAGAAGATTAGGGGATGAGTGTGGGGAGTAACGGGAAAGAGTTGGCAAGCTATAGCCCTAAGCAAATGTTTATCTGAGCCTCTGCTTTCTGGCCCACAGCGGGGGGTGCAGTCCCTCCTCCAGGGCGATGAGAGCTGGGGTTAGTGTGCTGGCACAGAGGAGCAGCTGTAGCTGCACCTTTAACTCCTCACAGAAGCAGGCACAGGAGCAGGAGGGACGACAAGCCCCTTTTCTCTCCACAGAAAGAGTGAGCCCCCGCAAGCTGCTGGCATTGACCGCGTGGCAGCTCCGCGAGCGGAGGTACCCTCCCACCTCACCACTGGGCAGCAGCCTGGCTCCACCTCCAGCCCCTAGGCTCGCCCTGCTGGTGCCCGCTGTGTGCCTAGGGTGGGGGCTGGGTACAGGGCGGCGGGGAGGGGAGGGGGGGCCCAGGGCCCCAGCCTCAGACACCTGAGAACTCCCAGCCATTGGGGGAGGGCCTGTGATGAGCGCACAGAGGCGGAGGGTAGTCCAGCCAGCCAGCGCTCATTCAGCAAGCTCAGCCTTGCCTTGGGTACCAAAGCTTTCAGAGGTGACTTAGACCAGGCCCTGTCCTCAAGGGGTTCACAGCTCCCCAGGGACACACTCTTAAAAATGGGCATTTCAAAACCTATGTGATCAATGCCCTGGGGACTATGGGGGCCCAGGAGTCCCCAGCGGGGCCTGGGGGATGGGGAAGTTACCCAGTCCAGGGAGTTTGAACCCTTCCCTCTCTTGCTTATGCCCCCAGGCTTGGAAAGAGCACCTGCTCTGGAGTCAGAGAGACCTGGGTTCTACACCTGGCTTCTCCCTAACAAATAGAGTGGGGCATCAGAAAGTCACTCATCTTCCCTGAGCCTCAGGCTCCTCATCTGTTAAATGGGACACTGGAGTATGTAAAGCACTGCACTAGGGACTTTGTGAATATTTCTTCCCTCCTTCCTTACCATATTCTTCTCCCAGGCCCTGTTTGACTTCACTGGGAATAGCAAACATGAGCTGAATTTCAAAGTTGGAGATGTGATCTTCCTTCTCAGTCGGATCAATAAAGACTGGCTGGAGGTAAGTTTGGAGGTGAGCATGGAGATTTTGTTGGAGGTGAGCTTGGAGGTGAGACTGAAGGTGAGGAGGCAGTGAGGTTGCAGGTAAGTTCGAGGTGAAGTCGCTTTGATTCTGTGAGGGATCAGAGAAAGAGGAGGGATCTGAGAAGGCCCTGGGGAAAAGATGCTGTCCAAAGGTGGTCCTGGAGATTTGGGCAGGTAGATTGGGGAAGCCTGAAGAAATATTATGTATGTGACTGGAGCAGAAGATTCTGGCACCTACACTTGCCTCTGACCCCATCAGTAGTCACATTAGAAAGTCAGTTAACCCTCTGAGTTTCATTTCTTGTTCTGTAACAGGGTCTCTCAGCCTGTTCACTCTGACATTTGGGAGCAGGCAGTTCTGTTGGGAGATGCCCTGTGCACCATGGGGTGTTTAGCGGTAACCTTGGCGTCCATCTGCTAGATGCCAGGAGCACCCCTCCAGCTGCAACAATCAAGTGTGTCCCCAGACCTCTGGCCCCAGAAGGTAGAATCACACCCAGTGGAGACGTGCTGTATGTAATCGGGTAAAGTTACTCACCGCGCAGGGAGTGAGTGAAAGTGAGGAGGGAGACTCACTTGAACTCCAGCGTCTGACATCACATCCTAGCTGTTTTTAACTAGCTGTGTGACTTTGGGAAACTTACTCAACCCTGTGGTTTCCTATCCCGTAAATGGAGATAACCCTGGCCGTTTCTTCATAGGTTTCTGGGAAGGGTTGAAGGAGACGCAGCTGTTCGGGGCCTGCCCCATGTAGGGCCTGGGTGTTGGCATCTTGGCCATGCTAGATCCCCGCCAGCGGCAAGCCTGGTCCTCACAGAGGCTCAGAGCACGCCTGGAGATGGAGGGGGTATCTCCGACTGGGAAGCCCTGGCCTCCTGCAGCCTTTCGGGTTAAGTCCTCTTGTTATGAAAGATTCCCCTTTCTCGGGGCTCCTGAAGCTGTGTGTGAAGGAGCTTATGGGACAGGTCCTGAGGCAGGGCCAGCCGCCAGGGGTCCGGGGACCACTGAGGGAAGGGGGAGGGCCCCTGGCGCCCAGGGGCTGGAGAGGAGTGTGGACCAACTAACTGTTCAGCTCACAACTTGGTTTGATTTTTACCCCAGTCCCACAGCTCTGTCTCAGGTACTCACGAGCTCTGACAGCGGAAGGATATTGCTGGGTCATTCTCCAGAAACAGGAAATGTTTGTCGACTTCTTGTTTTCTAGAAGGTTCTGGGTCAGTATGCTAGCTGACTTCTGGCTTCAGATGGATGGGAGGGTTAGGGAAGGAGCACAAGTACTACCTCAGCCTCAGTTTATATGTCTGTAAAAGGGGCTGGAACAGTATGTCTTCCATAGGGTTATGAAGATTAAGAGAACAGGTGACAGCACCTGATGCCACACACCCAGGCCCTAGTGATGGTTAGGTCCTGGCTGGAGTTTAGGAGAGAGGCCTGGCTGGAGGGAGATTTCTGGTTGTTAGGTCTAGAGCAGGCGGTGTCCATGGATGAATGAATGAATGAATGGGCCCCGCCTCTAACCCTCTCCCTCCCCTATCCTGTTTTTCCCTGACACCTACCACCATATGACTACCCGTAAACCTGGGCCTTGTCTAGAGCACAGTGGAAGCTCCAGGGGGGAGGGCAGGGATTTCCATCCCTTCTGAGTGCCCAGAGCCTACCCCTTAGCTGGCACTCAAGAAGTAGTCGAATGACTAAGTGAGTGAATAAATGAATGAGGTGAAAGCAGGTCTTGGTCAAAAATAGATGTCTTGGGGTGAACAGCTTGGTGACTTGCCCACTTTTTCTCTTCCCTCTGCATAAAGGGACCCAGACCTGTCTGCCTTTCCCCATCATTATAAGCGGGCAGGACCCCGAGACATGGCCCTGCTGCCTCTCCCAGCACCCACAGGGCAGAGTCTTCTTCCTTCCCTCAGGGCACTGTCCGGGGAACCACGGGCATCTTCCCAGTGTCCTTTGTGAAGATCCTCAAGGACTTCCCAGAGGAGGAAGACCTCACCAACTGGCTACGCTGCTACTACTATGAGGACACCATCAGCACCATCAAGTTGGTGGCCCGCTGGGAGGGAGGGATCTGTCCAGCCTCCCTGCCCCTCCCCAACCCTACCCCACCTCTGGGCTCCAAGACCCAAACCAGATCACATGTCTCCCCACCAAACACACACACTTGAAAGCTCGCAGTGGCTCCCACCATCCTCCGGATAAGCCATACCCCATCACAAGACTTCAAGGTCCAGTGTGACCTGGCCAGCCTCCTTCCCTTGCCCCCTTCCTGGCCGGCTGCCTCCTAACTCGGGCCTACTCTCTCCTTAGAGACATTGCAGTGGAAGAAGACCTCAGCAGCACCCCACTCTTCAAGGACTTGCTGGAGCTCATGAGGTGAGGGGCTAGGGTGGGAGGGTTGAGGGGTGTCAGACACCATGCCGGAGAGAATAGCGGGAGGAACACAGCACATTCAAGGGCTGGGCATTTTGTATCTGTTTCATCTTCTTGTTTCACCCACAGCCCAGCCCTGCGGGGTGGGTATCAGCTCACCACAGAGATGAGTGGGGGAGTGGGGGGCTGCAGAGAGGTAAAGGGGCTTGTGGTTTATGGGCCTGGATTTGCTGAAGTTTTTCTAAGTCAAAACCTTGGACTTGGACCCTCCTCCATCAGGGAACCACCACCTCCCGAGACCCAGTTATGAACAGTTACTTTACAGAATGGAAATGCCATTGTTATATTCCTGACTGTAAAAGTAATATCTATTCATTAGTTTTTTAAAAAGAATGTCAGAAGTCATGGGAAAGTATAAAGAAGTGAAATCACCTCATATTTTACTCCTCTCATTATCTAATGTGCATTCAGATTTCTTCAGCTCACACCCCACCCACACCCCACTCCCCATAATTTTATTATTTAGTTGGCTACAGAGCATTGTTGTGTGGCTGCACCATAACTAATGCAGCCATCTCCTTTTGTTGGCATTTAAGTTATCTTCCACTTTTTTATTATACTACTGTGAATAGTGCTGTGATCCACCTATTTGATGTCTTGTCTGATTATTTCCTTAGGATGATTTTCTAGAAGTGAGGTTTGGGGATCAAGGTGTTCACAAGTCAGAGCTTCTGACCCATTTTGTCAGATTTACCTGTGGAAAGTTTGAATGGCTGTTCACCCGTCTACCTGCACCCAGATCAGGCACTTCCAATCCTTCATGAGTTCTTTGTGGCCACATGCAGGGCTGTCTCAGGGGCTTTATCTTCCTCTACCCTGTGCTCAATAAAACCCACCTCTCTTCCCCATGACAGTTCTTAAGTCTTCAGCACGTTATAAGACATTTCAAGCTGCTCCACAAATTTATCGTGAAAGTCCCATTTTCCCCCGGAGGTCTCAGTTTCCCCATCTGTACAATTGGAGATTGGACCCCTCGGATGATGGAACCAGGGTCCAGCTCTGACCTCTTCCAATTCTTAGACCCCAGCCGTAAATCTCCCTCCATCCCCTCTCCCTCCTCCCACACCTAGGCCTAAAGGCTGCTGGGCCTTTCCCGAACCCTGATCTCTCCCACCCAGGCGGGAGTTCCAGAAGGAGGACATCGCCCTCAACTACCAGGATGCTGAGGGGGACCTGGTCCGGCTGCTGTCGGATGAAGATGTGAGGCTCATGGTGAAGCGGGCCCGAGGTCTCCCCTCCCAGAAGCGTCTCTTCCCCTGGAAGCTGCACGTCACCCAAGAAGACAACTACAAGGTCTACAACACGGTCCCCTGAGCTGGTGGTGTCCCTGGGCCAGTGGGGGACTCCCGGCAAAGAGCCCTCCGAGGGGATTAGGACCCAGAAAACCTGGGCGTGTGGGACAGACTTCCTGGTTCTGAGTGGGACAGACCTGCTGACCTTGGCGTGTACATTTGGTCTCTGAATTAAATAAACCATTTCATCTTAAAGGGGCAGGCTGAGGAAGAGAATGTCTTTGGAGGAAAGAGAGGAGAGGAAGTAAAAACCCATTCATGAGTATCACTGAGGGATCATTTATATACAGAAGAGGGCCCTGGCTTTGAGCCTCTAATCCAGCCACCTGTTCCCTCGCCTTGTCCCCTTGTGTGGGGAAACCCAGTGACACTCCTGTCCCTTCTGGTCACTCCCTTTTAAGCCCTCTTCTAGGAGTAACCACTTGCCTCATGGAAGTCATCTTTCCCTGGGTACCCTCTGGGTCAGGCCAACACCAAGCCCTCTGTGTGACCAAGGTCAGGGGCTGCCTCTGCCCTCTTATTCCTGCTGCTCTGCAGAAGGGCAGAGACCTGAGTCGTCGTGTTGGTGGTCTTCCTTGTAAGTAAGGGGTGAAGGGAGGGCGGACTCTGGCCCCTCTGGGGAGGAAGAAGCAGAATGGCAGGATCTTCCTCTGTGAGCTGAAGCCTTTTCTCTCCTAAGCAGCCAAAATGTCAATAAGTATCAACTTCAGTAAGACCTCGGGAGGAGCTTGGCAGACCCCTCTTCTCTGTGAAACAAACATTTAACTGATTAAAAAGTACTAAAAACCAAACATTCAAAGTTGAGAGGCCCTACTGCTGCAGCACAATGAGACCCTAGATAGCACACACTCTTTGAAGAATCATGAGCCTAATAAGAAGCAGTGGGCTCTCCAATGATCCTCCCATACCACTACCCACTCCTGCTGAAAAAAAAAAAATCCCATGATAAGACCTGGGGTCAGAACCCACAGCCTCTGGGAGGCTGTTCTGGAATGCAGAGGCAGTGCTACTGTTAGAATGCTGAGGCCCAGGGAGGCTGTGCATAAAGAGCCTGGACCAGGGGCTCTTGTGCTAGATCAAGGCCTAGGGGTAAAGGATGAGGTGATTCTGAGAGAGTGGTATCCCTGCCTCTAAGCAGAAGAAAGTCCCCTCTGGAGTGAAGTGCTCCCAGCTAGGCTGACTCCAGCCACTTTAATTAAAATGCAACAAAATCTCCTAGTCAAAGATCACTGAATCTCTGTGAGTAACAATAGGCAGTGAGAATATAAATGATAGCTGTAGACCCCCAGGGTCTGAAGATTACTGAACTGCATGGCTAAAGTGTTCAAAGAAATAAAGGATGAAATCATAAAAATGAATGAACTAAAGTGAATGACCAGGCAGATTTGCAAAAGAAAAATGATATATGTATAGGTGTATGTGTGTGTACATCTGTTGAGGCAGAAAAGACAGTGGATAAGTTAAATAGTATCAAAACATTACACACAGGTGATGAGAAAATTAGTGAATTGAAAGATAAATCCAGAAATTACCCAGAATATAACAGAGAGACAAGTAGCTGGAGAGTATAAAGATGGAAATAAGAGATGTAAACAATAGAATGAGATTTTTTAAAAAAATCAGAATCTCAGTGTGAGAAAATACAGAGAGTGGCAAAGAGGTGATATTTAAATAGATGGCAGATATAGTATTTCAAAACTGATGAAAAACTTAAATCTATGGATACAGGAAACATGTATGGATAAGTAGGATGAATAAAAAATGGTCATAACTGGCTATAGTAGATCAAAACTACAGAACATGGAAGCCCAAGAGAATATGTTAAAAGCAGTCAGAGAAAGTGGGGATCACTGCCAAGTAACAATTAGAATGAGAAGCAGACTTTTCAATTGCACCTATGGAAGACAAAACCATTATAATTGTACCTTCAGATTTTTAGAGAAAATAACTTTCAATCTAGAGCTTTATGCTCAGTAAAGTCATCTTTCAGTAATGAAGGTGAGAGGACTTCTCTGGTTGTCCAGTGGTTAAGAATCAGCCTGCCAATGCAGGAGACATGGCTTCAGTCCTGGTCTGGGAACTAAGATCCTACATGCAACAGGGGTAACTAAGCCTGTGAGCCACAACTACTGAAGGCCAAGCGCTCTGGAGACTGCGCATCACAACAACAGAAGCCACCACTCGCCACAGCTAGAGAAAAGTCCATGCAGCAGTGAGGTGCTCATGTGCTGAAACAAAGACCCACTGCAACCAAAAATAAATAAAAATCATGAAGGTGTGTGTGTTAGTTGCTCAGTCATGTCTGACTCTTTGTGACCCCATGGACACAAGCTCCTCTGTCCATGGAATTCTCCAGGCAAGAATACTGGAGTGGAACTGCCATATGACCCATATGACCCAGCAATCCCACTTCTGGGCGTACACACCGAGGAAACCAGATATGAAAGAGACACGTGCACCCCAATGTTCATCGCAGCACTGTTTATAATAGCCAGGATATGGAAGCAACCTAGATGCCCATCAGCAGACGAATGGGTAAGGAAGCTGTGGTACATATACACCATGGAATATTACTCAGCCATTAAAAAGAATTCATTTGAATCAGTTCTAATGAGATGGATGAAACTGGAGCCCATTATACAGAGTGAAGTAAGCCAGAAAGATAAAGACCAATGCAGTATACTAACGCATATATATGAAATTTAGAAAGATGGTAATGATAACCCTATATACAAAACAGAAAAAGAGACTCCTATGTACAGAACAGACTTTTGGACTCTGTGGGAAAAGGCGAGTGTGGGATGTTTCGAGAGAACAACAACGAAACATGTATATTATCAAGGGTGAAACAGATCACCAGCCCAGGTTGGGTGCATGAGACAAGTGCTCGGGCCTGGTGCACTGGAAAGACCCAGAGGGATCGGGTGGAGAGGGAGGTGGGAGGGGGGATCGGGATGGGGAATACATGTAAATCCATGGCTGATTCATGTCAATGTATGGCAAAAACCACTACAATATTGTAAAGTAATTAGCCTCCAACTAATAAAAATAAATGAAAAAAAAAAGAAATTATAACAGGAAAAAAAAAAAAAAGAATACTGGAGTGGGTTGCCATTCCCTCCTCCAGGGGATCTTTCTGACCTAGGGATCGAACCCAGGTCTTCTCCATGGCAGGCAAATTTTTTACTGTCTGAGTCAGCAGGGAGGCAATGAATGTGAAATGAAGTCAAGTATGGATACAAATGGAAAATCTGTCATCAAGTTACCTGAACTATGCTGTATATCAGAAATTAGCCCAAAATTGTAAATCAACTATACTTCAACAAAGAAAAAAGATACCTGAACTGAAAGTATCTTTAAAATACATGCTTCAAGAATAAGGAAAATGGCCCTTGAGGGATAATCTGAGATGCAAGAGCAACTGATAAACAAAAAGGTGAACATAATCTTTAGACTTGTGTTGACTTAGCTAAATTGCAACTGTATTTCCTAGAATTTCCTTCACTGCATGAATCCAGGTTAGCATGAGCCAAAAGAGACATTTTGCAAGACACATTTAGAAAGCGATTGTGAAGCAGCAGCTAACCTCTTTTTAGTTTAGATAAGATGTGTTGTCCACTATTGCGCAAGCCAGACAGCATGAGTAGCCAGAGAAATATCATCTGACTGATTAGCAACCACTTTGTGCCCATGGTGTGTACTCAGTGCAGGCATTCTGGACGAGAAAAAAAACAACAAACCAGACTGGTGAGATGTTATCATCCTTCCTGGAAAACTGTTATGCACACCCCCTTCCTGAACTTCTAATAATAAGCAGTGTTTCAGTTTTTATTTCTCCCTAGTGGGATTTATGCATTACAGTCCATAAACAAAGGATTTTCGAGCAAGGGTAAACTCATTTTTTTCCTGACTGTGCTTGCTGCAATCACAGAGCCTAAGATTCTGACACTCTTGAAAGAGTTCAGTCTTAAGGATGTCTTTTACAGAACTTCCAACGTTTAAGATGATGTTTATAAATCAGCATTGACAAATGCTGATGCAGACTCTGGCCATGTTGATGTCAGTTCTTCCCCCTGATCCACAGGGATCCATGGGTTTAACGCAATTAGAAAATACACTCCAAATAATTTTTTTGTTGTTTAGAGTTTCACACACCTATTCTAGAATTGATAGGAGAAGAGTAAAGGCCTTGGAATAGTCAGTACTCCTGAAGAGAATAAAGTGATGAGGCATGTCCTCCGGATAGCAAGACTTATTATAAAGCAACGGAAAAGAAAATGGCATGGTATTTGGACAGGAATTGAGAGTCTGGCAATGGAGAACAGAGAGCTCAGGAACATCATGCATAAATGGTATTTGATATATGATAGAAGTAACTTTGCAGATCTCTGGACTTCCCAGGTGGCTCAGTGGTAAAGAATCTGCCTGCCAATGCAGGAGATGCAGGTTCAATCCCTGGGTTGGGAAGATCCCCTGGAGAAGGAAATGGTAACCCACTCCAGTGTTCTTGCCTGGGAAATCTCATGGACAGAGGAGCCTGGCAGGCTACAGACCATGGGGTTGCAAAGAGTCGGGCATGGCTTAGTGACTAAACAGCAACAAAGTTTTGCAGATGTGGTCTTCCCTGATAGCTCAGTTGGTAAAGAATCCACCTGCAATGCAGGAGACCCTGGTTCGATTCCTGGGTTGGGAAGATCCCCTGGAGAAGGAATAGGCTACCCTCTTCAGTATTCTTGGGCTTCCCTTGTGGCTCAGCTGGTAAAGAATCTGCCTGCAATGTGGGAGACCTGGCTTCGATTCCTGGATTGGGAAGATCCCCTGGAGAAGGGAAAGGCTACCCACTCCAGTATTCTGGCCTAAAGAATTTCACGGACTGTATAGTCCATGGGGCTGCAGAGTCAGACAGAACTGAGCGACTTTCACTTTTACTTTCACATGGGAAAGGAGGTAGAAAATCAAAGAATGGTACTTGGGCAAATTGTTCAACCATATGGCACGCAAAACGAATGAGACTGAATCTCT